TATTCAGTGAGTCTGTGCACAGGTAGTCACGCACCTGTATGACTTTAAACTGTGTTAATACTTGTTCAGCAACCAGAGATGGAGACATTTAAAGGTTAGTGTGTGTGTCTTTGTTTCCTGGATATCTGCCAGTATACTGCTTGTGACTCACAGGAGGACGGTAATTATTCAATGAGCACGTTTGTGAGGTCAAACAGCGGCTAAGAGGGATCTCACGCAAATGGCTGTAACCTGGTTGTCATTGGCCAGCACTTTGTCTGTCAGTGTCTCTAATGCGCGCACACAGACACACACTTAAATTATCGAAGACCTTTCTGAGAACAGCTCTCTACAGTGCAGATCTACTCACTCTTTCGTGCACAGAGGAACAGAAAGAGGCCGTTACAGGGAGGCAATAAAGCAACAAATGAGATGAAGGCAAAAAGTGACTAAAGGGAAGCTCGGGGTCGTTAGTGGATTAAAGTGAGAAGCCGAGAGGAGCGATGAGTCATGCTTTAAAAAGACGAGGATGGTGGCGGCTCAGCAGAGAGAGGGGCTTCTGTCCACGTCAAACAGAGGGCTGCTTTAATGCGAGGCATCAAAGGAGATGCTCCTGTTCATCAGTGCTTCAACTAATAACCCAAACTAATCTGTAATATATGAGCAAACAATTCACTGCAGATGATAAAGTTAATCAATTATACTTCTGCTGTGATCAATTTCAGGCCAATCAGCTGTGCCAAGGGTTAATTGGTTCATTCTTTACCAGCTTCCACAGTGGGCATCACATTGGTGTTGTGTTTTTAATTGGATGACACCAACACCCTGCACGCTGACATTAGTCTTCATTATCTCCTTTGCATAACTTTCATATCCTCCAAATACGCTTGACCTCGTCTGCTCCTCGTTTTTAGAGCTGAAAGAGAAAATATCAGCAGAAAGAACAAGTCTTTAAAATGTTTTGTCTAAAAATATTCAGAGCCAGGCTTTGGTTAGATTTTTTTATCTGTTCCTTAAAAGAAAGCAGGTGATCTAGGATTGTCACAGGTCCGGGGAGCTTCTGTTTAATGGCTCAGAGGAACTTTATA